CTGAGATGATTGCACAAACTTGGCTGGAAATTATTGGTCAAAATGTAAGATTTTTATAAACTGATTTGCATCTTGATTTATTTGTTTTTCTCTTTCTCGAAATAATTCTTCTACTCGTAGCCTATTAGGAAAGTAATTGAGTATGCTGCTACAAGTGTATCTCAAATAACGTCGAGTGCGGTTAATACATAAGAAATCCATTAGTGGGACGTTTTTAACTAGTGTTAATTTGTTTGCAACAGACATGTTATATCAATAACTTCATAATTATCCGTGGATTAGTTAAGTAATTAACGTCAGTTAAGAGCTTGATGGAACGTAAATATCGGAGCAAATTTACATTATTGTTCGGCTACCGTTTACCAGATGTATTTCAATAATGTTGTTTCAACCGTTCGATTTAATTTAAAAACACAAAATATTTAACAATCGATTATAATTTATTTCGAATTTTTGACCACAAAACAAAGTCAAAAGAATTTTTGGAAGATTAAAACAAATTAAAAAACGCTAAATAAACAGTAAAACAGTATACAGGCTGATTCTTAAATAAACCGACAAGACTTTATCACAACTTCCCAAGGATAAACGAAAACAAACTGTAACCTTTTTACATTTATATAACTTTTATACAGGATGCGCCAGAACTCGCGCCCCAAAGAAAATTTTCAAGTAAGGTAAAATACCAGGAACATGAAAAAAATAAATGTTTAAAAAATTCTCTGTTAAAAAATTTTGACATTTATTTTTTGACATTTGACGTTTTTTTATGTCTATTTAATGATACTGAAAATCTTGTACAGGATGAATATAAAGTATGGAACCATGCGGTTTTATTTTTAATCATTTGCCTTCAGAAAATAATAATTAATATAAATTGAAGTAATAAAAAAATCTGATCGTATTTTCAGAACAAAATTTTGTTTTGTTTTTGGGTTATGCGATTTTTTTTGTCAAAATTGCAATTTATGTAAAAAAAATTTTTGAAAAAATTAAATATAAAGCAGGTAGTTGTAATCCTTAGTTTTTTCAAAAAATAAATAATTTAAGCAAAAAACGTTTGGTTCCATACTTTTTATTCACCTGGTATATGTTTTTTTTTATAATTATTTTATAAATGTATAAAAATTTTGCCAATAAAAGCCCCGAATAACATTAAACAAAGTCTCACAACTTCGAAATTTTTATAGATAGAATTGTTTAACATTTTTTTGGCATTTTTTTCTGGGGCGCGAGTTCTGGTGCACCCTGTATGTCTATTTCTCTCTGCTAGGGTCAACTCTGAAACAAAGGTGAGATACCAGGAACATGGAAAAAATGTTTAAAAAATTCTAACTGTCAAAAAATGTTGACATTTATTATTTGACATTTGACATTTTTTTTTATATTTATTTAATGATACTGATGATCTTGTATAAGTTTTTTTTACAATTATTTAGTAAAGGGACAAAAATTTTGCCAATAAAAGCCACAAATAACATTGAACAGAGTTACAATTTAGGATACACCTTCCTTGTTTCCTCTTTTAATAGCCTATAGCAAGAAAACTTGGAAAATTATATTTCCAACAGAAATAAATAGAGTCAAAGTGCAAACTTTAAACCTTCATAACTTCGAAATTTTTATAGATATAATTTTTTTAACATTTTTTCCCTGTTCCTGGTATCTTACCTTATATGACATTTTTCTCTGGGGCGCGAGTTCTGGCGCACCTTGTATATAACTTTTAGGGGAAAAACCCCATTGATCCGTGTCACTTACGGAGTTTATGAATTGTTGCAATGATCAAGTATGTACATTAATAACATAGTTTCCACTACCTATTTACGAACAAATCAGTGGCGTACGCTTTACCTCGAAAATAACTTTAATAAATTTTATTTAGAGAACAGTTAAACAAAGAATTTTTTAAATATTTTTTCCAGCATGTTCTCATTTGATACTACCAAGGATGAAATTTTGTCGGTCTATTTAAGAATCAACCTGTATAATCTTGTAATGACTTAACTGTAATCAACAAGTTGTCTCAAAACAAATTTATTTCAAGTACCCAATTTCTCTAAAACAAATCAAGAAAGTGATTCTTTAAAGTGAACGGTTTAATATACAGAGTGTTAGCGGATTACGAGCAAATGTTCTAACCACTAAAAGAATTCATTTTGAAAAGTAAATTTGAAGACCAAACAAATTCCGCGTCCAATTTATTTTTTCCATTTTTCCCCAATGATTTTCCCGAGCCGTTCAGTATGTCTGTCCTTGTTAGGTGGAAGTAAAAATATCAATGAAAATAATTTACATTGAATGTTGACTATGAAAGTTTTTGTGCACAAAAAGGGATAACTTTGTGTACAAATTTCTAATGTGTTATCGTCCATTTTGTTTCAGAATATTAGAGAAAGAAGGTATTTGGTGTTTTTGGATTTGGACTGATTATTGAAAATAATTTTTTGGCAACGTTTTGACTTCTTTATTCAATCTTCCTCACGCCGTCAACGTGATGTTCTGGCATTTGGGTTTGACTGACAAAATTTAGTGATCACTTTGCAGTCCAAACACCCTACATATGAAAAAAAATTGTTCACATTATACAGGGTGCGCCAGAACTTGCGCCCCAGAAAAAAATTTCAAGTAAGGTAAGATACCAGAAACATGAAAAAAATGTTTAAAAAATTCTATCTGTCAAAAAAATGACATTTATTTTTTGACATTTGACATTTTTTTATATCTATTTAAGTATACTGATAATCTTGTATATGTTTTTTTTTACAATTATTTAGTAAAGGGACAAAAAATTTGCCAATAAAAGCCACAAATAACATTGAACAGAGTTACAAATTAGGATACAGCTTCCTTGTTTCCTCTTTTAATAGCCTATAGCAAAAAAACTTGGAAAATTATTTTTCCAACAGAAATAAATAGAGTCAAAGTGCAAACTTTAAACCCTCATAACTTCGAAATTTTTATAGATAAAATTTTTTTAACATTTTTTTCATGTTCCTGGTATCTTACCTTATATGGCATTTTTCCCTGGGGCGCGAGTTATGGCGCACCCTGTATATTTACACAAATTTTGAAATAATTATTTTTGATTCTTAATTATCATAAGACATAATAAGATTTTCCATGACTTTCATTTATCTTGTGTAATTTTACTTACTCCGAGCGTTACTTTTCAAAGGATAGGTACTTCACGAGATCCTAAAAAATGTTTAAAAAATCCTATATGTTAAAAAACTTTAACATTTATTTTTTTGGCATTTGACCTTTTTGTGTCTATTTATTGTTGTATAGGTATGTTTTTTTATAATTATTCAATAAAGGTACAAAAACTTTGCCAATAGAAACCACAAATAACCTTAGATCCAGTTTCGATTCAGAATACTCTTTAGAAGAGGAAACAATAATAGCCTGCAGAAGAAAAAAACATGTAAAATTATTTTGCAACAGAAATAAATAGGGTCAAAGTGTAAATTTCGAAACTCTTATAGATAGAAACTTTTATACATTTTTTCCATGTTTATAGTATCTTATGTTACTTGAGCGCTAGTTTTGAAACAGCCTGTATGCAAACGTTTTATTATTATTAGATGTGCAAGGGATTTTCGTAAGTAGCAAGTTTTTTGTAGACTTTGCAATGATAAAAAATTACAGTTTCAATTCAATAATTATTAACGACGCATTTCTTTAGTGGCCAAGTCATAAAAATCTGCTTCTCGTATAGTTTCTAGTCAAATTATTATTATACTCATTTTTGGATTTTTTTTAGTAATTTTAATTCATTGAAGAAAGAATGATGATCAAAAACACAATTAAACCCGTTCATCGTTTCCATACCAAGAGGATCCAATAAGAAGATAAGAAAAAACTAAAAAACAACCAAGGTTAATCTCAGTAATAAGAGAACAATTCACTATTTACTTATTTTATAATTGGAATCGCAATGAAAAATTAATTAATTAATTATACCTCGTGGAATACAGAGTTGTTTATCTAAGAAGGTATTTTTTTTTATTTTTGTACATATTTTGGATGTAAATAAACTAATTGATTAGTGAATAGGTAAAAGTTGTTTCATCAATTTGGAATAAACTTGAATAATTTGGCCAATGCTTTAACTAAGTATCAGTCATATCAAATTGTTAATAAATATTTTTCATTAATTTGGATCGTTTCTTAATAATTTGTGTGAAATTGAAATAAAAGCAATTTAAAAAAATGCTTGTAAATTTTTCTAATTGTGATCAGTAATGAAAATAAGTATCTATTGTTAATATATCTTGAATTATGAAAATGTTTCTAGCTATCAGTAGGTATGTGTTTTGTAATAAACTTGAGTATTACACAACATTCGAACAGATTGCAAATTCCATATAATTCCTCCATGTATTTTTTTCAGTTATTTTCGTCTCGTTATTAACATTAAATACCCGCGGTTGTTAGATTAACCCATTTTTTTTTGCAATATGGTAAGTATATAAATCAGTGTAGTAATTTTCCGAATATATCCACCAACATCTAATCAGTCCAAATGTCAGACCAGGCTATAAGTCCCCTGCATATGTCGAACAATTTTTCCCCTCAAAGTCGTTATAACTCATCAGTTTTATCGACAGAGAAAATAACTTTCCAACACATTCGGCCTTACAATAAAGGCCGAAAAAACAAGCTACAATTAACCTAAATCGAAACAACTTGCAAAAACCACAAAAATAAATTACCTCTCACCGAAATATATCCCGAATCGGGTGCGATTCTGTCATTTTCAAAGAAACCTCGATCGGAAGGACCAATTCACAAAGCTGAAAATCCTCTGAAAGAGGCATGGTGGTTGCCACGCAACTACGGGGGTTAAAAGGCGGAGCTTCAAACTTTCAGTCCAATGAGAGTTCGTTGTTTCCGCGCACTGCTCGAGTGTGTGTAATGTATCGTCTAATGTCGCTGTAATGCATGATATTATTAGGATAATACATTTCAAATCGGTTAGTCTATGTACAGCTTGGCTGGGGCGAAGTTGGCGTTGGAAACGATTGTCATTTCGAAGCCTCCTTTGATGTGTCTGTTTACCATCACTCCTTGATCATGGGTGATCATTTTACGCTTACCTAATGCATTTCGAAAATTTGAATTAGCAGTGCGTGTCACAGTGGCTGTGTATATAATTTCTCTTAATTATATTAAAAAAAAAACAACAAAGACTATGGCGCAATATGAAGAATCCCATCTCGTGCACCACCAAGACTCTTATCAATCTAAACCCTTGAACATGGACACGAAAATTCAAGAAAATAAGGGTTCTTTCTGTATAGACGCTCTTCTTTCACGTAGTGATGACCGTCCGACGTCTCCCGATACCTCCCGAAGTATATCGCCGACATCTACAAGAAGTCGAAGTCCTCCGATATCACCAGGAAGCGAAGAAGTGCCCCAAACCGCTTTTGTGCCAAGACCTGGACTTTTAAACCACATTTATCCCAATAGCAGCAATTTTTACGGTTACCAAGCTCAACCTCAAGCTTCAGCTTTTCATAGTTTAGACGGTGCAATGATTCAAAAGGTCCAATTGCCCGTTAATCATCACAATCATAATCAGTTGCATCAGATGCAGTTGGAGTGGTTGGCAAGGACTGGCATGTTTTACCCCAGATTGCCGGATTTAGCAGGTAGGGTTGGTTACTCTTACTATAACTATTAAACATTGAAATAATTATTTATCTACTTTCCACAAAAATGCAATAACAAGTACTTTCACGCATCACTATGCTTTATTGTTGACCGGTTATATGGTCATAATAAAATAGTAAGAAATAGGTATAGATCCTTTTTAAAATTCGCGATGTGTAAAATTCGTAAAAAAATCGAAGAAAAAATCTTTGGCTGATGAGTTGATGTTACTTCTCACCGTGCACTACTGAATTTGCAGCTTTTTTATTATTTTTTAACCAATGTACTCGTATCATTGAATGCAGCAAAAGCTAATTTTAATATTTATAAGTATATACCTACCGAGTGACTGTAAATGACTGTAACTTTTGTCGGCACATTGAAAAGAATCTTTATCACTGATAAAAAAGGCTAAGAATAAATATGTAAACTATGGCTGAGGAAGCATCTCTTTTAAAATTTAAAACTACCTTTCTGAGCAATAATTTTTTAACTGTAATTTTGAATTTGACTAATGTAAATAAAACAAATCTTTTTTATTTGTATTATAAAAAGTGATCATGGAATAACTGAAACAAAAATGCATTCCAGTTAACAATTGCAAACCAAGGGATAGAATTAACAATTTTTATAGTCACACTGACTTATACCCAACACGTGTAATGTCGAAGGTAATAATGCAAGTGATATAAAATTATTTTCTCCCGTGGTTTATATATTATTTTTTTCAGTACGGATTTAAGATATCTATGAAAACCAAGTTTTGGGGTAAGAAAAAATAAATATTTAATTTAATATGCAAAATAATTTATTAAATTATACCGGGTGTTCGGTCTCAAACCCAAACAAAGGAATTTAACATGGTAATGTTTACTTTTGCTGATTCCTGCTCGCCAGTGCAAGGCACAAGTAAGGCAATAGAACCTATAGAAATATAAAATTATTGACGATTCTAAAAATAAGAATAAAAATGGTATTTTTACAATACAATATTTATTTTACAATTTTCAAATTTATCAATACATAAAATAACTATGCGGTATTAGAATGATACTTGTCAAAAACGCTGAAGTTTTTTTTACAAATTAATTTAGAGTTAAATTACTATAAAAATAAATAATTACTTTAATAAAGAAAGGGTTTTCATGGTGAAAATGTTTTATTGCGTGTCCGCAATTGTACATAATTTTAATAGGTAAATAAAAGTATTGTGTAAATACCTATTTTGAGACTGTACTCCCTGGCAGCTAACATACAAAATTTTTTTCGTGTTAGTGATGGCTATTTTAACAGCATTATTTAAACATCTAAACAGATGGTTTCTACTCTTTATTTGTATAATTTAAAAACTATAACATTTTGAAATAAATAAATCGTCATGTAGGTAAATATTCTGATTAACGCTTTAATACAGTGAAGAAGTTTTCCTAAAATGTGACAGACGGCCTGAATATTAAAATATTACCTACATATCTGTAACTTCCTGAAGTTATTATGTTTTTGGCTGTCATAAAATTTTAAGGACTGCTGTAAAGAATTTTAGAAACTCAAAATCGCACAATGTAACAAAATTAGAGAAAAGCCTTGGTTTCTTGATGTGAGGCTTTTTATTCTTTTTAATTTCTAATACAATCATAAATAAACAAGGAATTGTAAGTCATTTTATTATACAGGGTGTTTATGTTCTTGAATTTGAAAATTGACCTGGTAGGTAGAAAAGTACAGAAACAGGGTAACCGAATAAAAACCTCCCAGAATTGTTATCATTAAGAATGTTATTTAACTCCAAAATATTGTACAAGGTTTGGGGATCATTGGATTATTTATTTGTTAAAACAAAATTTTATTATTGCAACAAATAAGAAAATCGTATTTAAGCGAAATGTTACTTCATAGTTTTGACACTGTTATCATTGATTTGCTTTTGGCTGAGTTTTTATCAAAATTCGAAGATCTTCTGTTTAATCACTTCCAACGAAATGGTTTACTATGCATAAGTTTGATTTGTTTTTCTTGTTTTTTTTTAATGATTCTAATACCCATTGTTGCAACCGAAGCAGCAGTTCTCAAACAAATAACATAAAATGAATTAGGAGTATTTTTTTCATAACGTGAATTTTTATGTTAAGTAGCGTATTAGTTTTCTTCTACCGTGCATATAATCTCCTTTAAATTTCAACCTCAAGACCGTAAACACCCTGTATTATGTATGTATGTAGAACAGAGTTAAATAACACGAAATATAAAGTAAAGGTAGAAAACAAATAACAAACGCTTGATTTGCTAATTATAAGTAAAATAACTAAAATAGAAACATAATAATATATTTGCTATGATAGGTAGATTAAGAAAATAAAAATTATTCGATCGATTAGAAGCTAATCAATCACATAATTTGAAATGTCAGATTATATGGCAATTATGGCGTATAAATTTCTCGACCTAAATAGATGGATATTTTCCTTGATTAGATCTGATTTTAGTTTATATTTTTATTAACAATTATTTTGCAGTTTTGCAGTAACATAATCTTTTTGGTGAACACCGAGGTGAATAAATACTACGTAAAAAGACATCAATCATATACTTATGACTGCCAAATTGCATTACCTATTACCTATTAAGATTATATTTTTATCATAAACATTGATAGTGAAACATATCTTTTTAAACATAGGTTGGTACTTATTTTAGATTTAATTTTTTTTGTATACAGGGTGCGCCAGAACGCGCGCCCCCGAGAAAAGTGCCATGTAAGTTATGAAGTTATAGAATTTAAATTTTGCACATTGACTGAAATAACTTTCCAAGTTTTTTTTACTACAAGCTATTAGAAGCAGAAACAAGAAAGCTATGTCCTAAATTGTTACTCTGTTTATTGTTATTTGTGGCTTTTATTGACAAAACTTTTGTACCTTCACTAAATAATTATAAGAAAACATATAGAGTATATCTCTGGATTGGGTTTACAAGAGGAAAAAAAAATTTATCTTTGATTTTACGTCAAAATTGCAAAGAAAAAAAGTTTTTTCTTCACTTGAAACCAGCAAATCTGTAATTAAAACTTCATTATTCTAACTCAGTAGAAAGAAAAGTAAATTTTTTTCTTGATTTTTTACTTAGAATAACTTTTCTCTGCTTTTGGAGTCCTATCACATTGGCGGTTTTATTATTTTGACAATGATGTCACTTTGACAAATGAGTTTACGCAAATTAAATAACAAAAATGTTTGTGAAAAACATAATTTTAATAAACAGCCACTCAAAAAAGGTAAAAACCAACGTCATTTTTAACAAGAACAATCATCATTTAATTAATAAATTATATATCAAAGTGATATATAGTTGTCAAATAATTAAAACCGCCAATGTGATAAGACTTAAATAGCAGAGAAAAATTATTCTAAGTCAAAATTAAGAGAAAAATGAACTTTTCTTTCTACTGAGTTAGAATAATAAAGTTTTAATTATAGATGTGCTGGTTTCAAGTAAAGCAAAACTTTTTTCCTTTGCAGTTTTGGAGTAAAATCAAAGATATTTTTTTTCCTCTTGTAAACTCAATCCGGGGACAAACTGTATACAAGATCATCAGTATCATTAAGTAGACATAAAAAATGTCAAATGTCAAAAGTTTATGACAGATAAAAATTTTTGAACATTGTTTTCATGTTCCTAGTATCTTATCTTACTTGAATTTTTTTTTGTTTCGCGAATTCTGACACACCCTGTATATTCGAAGCTCTGGAAGCTATAGAGTTTTGCTATAGTCTAGTAATTTCTTGACAAAAGTCAAAAGAAAAAAGCAAATAATGGTTTCGGCTTGAGTCAACAAAACGAATAAACCAAATAACTCATCAACCTCGATCCATAATCGTCTAATACGCTTTCAGAGGCTGAAAAACAAATTTAATCCATCTGAGATTTCATTTCCCGCTGAAGTAAATTAAACCTCCCGAAAATTACCCTCAAGGCACACCATTACCGTTAAAACCTTCAACCCTTAGTAAAATTGCTGCGATTACTTTTGTCACCAACTTGATTTCTCACCTCACATTGATTGACAAGAGATTATCAAATTCCAACGGATAACCGATAATAGACTATTGATTGATTAACACTTAATTCGACTAAGATTTGTTTGTCTTTATCTGAAAAATTTACGAAATTTCTGATATCGATCTCTTGAAACTGAGTGTATTTCCGTTGCTAATTACTAATCTTTAATTCAAATCGCGTCGTGCGCTGAAAACAAAGCACAAATTTTCGTCAAGTAATCAAGTTAACTCCGAACTAAAGGAATAAAGACGCAGCGGAACAAAACATTGACAACACATTGTGAACAGATCCCCGGAAAGGGATCTCCCAAATCAAGTTAGCTAATTGCAAGGGCAGAACGAAGCAGCGGTGCTAAAATTCGATAGAAAGAGAAGGATTTGACGGGAAACAGAGGGAGAAAATTAAGAAAAATTTCACAGAAATGCATAGATAATAACAATTTTATTATGCACTCTTTACTTTTTATCGAAACATTAGAATAACAAGAAAAGTTGTTGAATTTCTTTCATAGCTTTAATTATTTTGCTTACTAAAAAATACTATTAAAATTAATTAAATTCTCTGTCAATTCGAAAAAAAATGTTTTTGTTAAACTTAATTTTTGGTGGATTTACTTTAAACACATTTAAATAGGTTCAGATTTAGGGATTTGAAATCACTGATTTCTTCTTTATTTTTTTTCTCGAGCTTAACGTTTACACAGGTCTTTATGTATCCTGAAACTTTTCCTCTCTGAAATCCACTTAATCCTTCAAAATCCTGTTTATTTTCCACCTCCTCCTCTTCGGATCGGTTTTTGTTGTCTTGAGGATACTTCTTAGCCTTGTTGTCAAGTCTTGAAATCGATGTTGATGTTGATGGCACGTTTTTTGAAAGTTATGCGGTGGGTGGAGTGTGCGAGCGAGAGGAGGATCCCGGAGTTTTCCGGTTAGTTTAGCAACGT